CCCCCCCCCCCCCTGCTTCCCACACTTTCTCCTAGCAATACCCACCTTGTTGTTTCCTGGACACAGCAAGCTATTTCACCCCCCTGTTTGCACATGCTCTGTCTCCCACCAAGAGTTCCCTCTCTCTCCTGGGCCTGGAAAACCCTAGTTTCTGGCAAAGTTCAGCTCAGATATTGGTCACCTCCATGAGGAAAGCCCTTCCCTTTCTGGTCTTGACTCCTCTTGGCCATCAGCAAGCCGACCCCACAGAGGCAGGAACAGAACCAGGCCAGGCCCTCTAAGGTCCACACAAGGAGCCATTTTAAAAAATCCTCATCAGCAGATTTGGAAGAAAGTTTGAGCTGCACATATGCTGTGGTAGCCATGGTTACTGCAAAGACATTCTAAATGTAGATGATTATATAACCAACTGGAATGACTCTTTTGGGGAAAGAAAAGTTTTGACCCTCTTTTGTAACTGACTACTCAGTGACCCAAGGACTGTGATGGCGACTCTGTATGAGGTCACCATGGATGATGCATTCGGGCTGCAGGCAGCGGAAAGACTGGCCTCAAAGTGCCCCTGTCACCATCCAGGACAGAGTTCTCATTCTGCACATGGGGAAACTGAGGCCCAGAGAGGGAAGTGACTTTCCCTGAGTTCCACAAAGAGCTAGAGCCTGAACCGGGATAGCTGCCGGGTGCCACGAGAGAAGGAGCCCTGAATTTGGCCTGAGACAGCTGCTATGTGAACATTGGCTCTTAGAGCCTCAGTTTTTTTTAACTTGTGATTTTTACTTGGATGCCAGCATAATTAGTGTTAGTTGCTGTAACAAACATGTCCAAAACCTCAGTGGCTTTTAAACAATAAAAATTTAGTTTTTTGCTTATGATACTGTAAAATTGGGCACTTGGCGGATGACCTTCCGTGTGATGACTTGGGAACCCAGGCTCCTTTCATCTTTAATTGGCTCTGCCAATCAAAGGATCTTTAAAAAAATCCTTACCCAAGGATATTTTTTCCATTGATTTTCTAGAGAGAGTAGAAGGGAGGAAGGAAGGAAAGAGAGAGAGAGAGAGAGAGAGAGAGAGAGAGAAGAAAAGAGACACATCAATTGGTTGCCTCCCGCACAAGCCCCAACTGGGCCAGGCATCAAACCTGCAACTCAGGTAAATGCCCTTGACTGGGAATTGAATATGTAACCCTTTGGTGCTCAGGCCAGCACTCTAACCACTGAGCAATACCGGCCATCGCCAATCAAAGGATCTTGAAGAACAGATGATGAAGGGCCTCCTTCTGCTAGGTGGACACATAATAACAAGGGAGGTGGACCCATGCATCTCAATGCCTCTCAGGGAGGGACAGAAAAGAGCTGTCCTCTAGCCAGGAGCATTGGCATGGATTGATACATTTTGGCATTTACTTATTATTTTAGCTAAACTTAGCCTGCTTTAATATAAAGGTTGAATCTCTGGAGCAGAGCAAGAAAGAGACCTATTATAACCTTCCACTTCTACCAGCTCTGTCCCCAGCTGCCATGTTGGAACCCATCTGTTTGGGAGGCCACAGATATAGGGAAAAATCAGAAACTTTGAAATTATTCAGGCCCAGATTTTATCCTTGTTCCCATGTCTTGTTAGCCATGGGATCTCGGGCAAGTCATTTACCGTCTCAGAGTTTCTTTATAAAAAAGGGGGATAATTAATAAAGATGCAAAGACCTAATGGGTTATATATAGAACAGCATTGGCCCACAGTAGTTGCTCAATAACTATGCTCTTTATTTCCTTCCTGGTCTGCTCTGGAGACAAGTTCTAGAGCCTGGAACTTACTCCTCAAAACCGTGACCTCTTACTCCTCCTGTGACTGCGTCTCTTCTTTATCCTCATCCTGAGAGCTGTGCCTGGGCACATGTCAGAAGAGAAGCTCTGGCTTCCTAGCATTTCCCACTCCAAGCTCCATCCTAGAATTGTGTCAACCCCAACAGCCCCTCGTGAATGGAAAGCAAATGTCAGAAATAATTCTAGAAAGACTAAAAATAGAAACAGCTAATGGTTAGTGAACATTTCCTATATAATAGGTACTAAATGCTTTGTCCATATTAACTCATTTAATGCTCATATCTTCATGAGGTGAGCACTTTTAGAACCCTTATTTCTTTAAATGGGGAAGCTGAATATGGAGAGGTTAAAGAATTTCCCATGCTGACTATGTGCTGGGCATTATTCTGCGCATCTTACAAACATCCACTCATTCAATCCTCCTAACAGCCCTACGAGGCAGGTGCTATTATTCTTCCTCGGTGGGGACACAGGCACAGAGAAGCTGAATAACTTGCCCGAGGTTTCATGACTAGCAAGTAGTAGAGCGGGATTCGAACCCAGACAGAGTTTTGTTCTGAACAATTACACCACGAAGGGGAAGTAATGTGGTAGGAACACAGACTTTAGAGTCAGAGGAACATGAATTCCAGCTAATGAGCAGAACTAGAAATTTCCAGCATAGCCCGCTCCACCGACAGCTTTTCATAGAAGTTCTCTCAGTCAGGTTCCATCATGTTCTCCGTCTCCCCCTGAGATGACATCCTTGCTTCGCTTTCTTCTTCTTCCCCCTCTTGTTCTGCTTCCCTGTCCCTCTTTCTCGTAAGGGCCTCCCCCCATAAGTCTCTTGCCCCAGAAGTCCCGATCTCAAGGGCAAGATGGGTTCCCAGGCTCCCTAAGATTTGGTCTTGTGGTTTCCATCCTAGGATTCTGAGTAATCTATTTTCTTTTACAGCAACCCCTCTTTGATTGACTTAGCAGGAGGTCTGTCTCTTGCAGCTCAGTAAGTCCAAATTGTGTGAATTCAGTGAAGTTACTCAGCTACTCTCAGTTTCACTCCGTCTGGCAAACGGTGCTCATTATTCTCCCATCTTCAGCGCTTGCTCTGGTGACTTAATAAGAGAAGGCACGTGACACCTTCCAGCATTGTGCATGGCTTAGAGCAGGCACTCCATTC